GTTTCATTTTCTGTTCTTGTGTCAGTTTGCTGAGAATGATGTTCTCCAGATTCATCCATGTCCCTACAAACGACAGGAACTCATCATTTCTGATTGCTGCATAATATTCCATGGTGTATATGTGCCACATTTTCCCTGTCCAGTCTATCTTCCATGGTCATTTGGGTTGGTTTCAGGCCTTTGCTATTGTAAACAGTGCTGCAATGAACATTTGTATGCACGTGTCCTTATAGTAGAACGATTTATAGTCCTTTGGATATATCCCCAGTAATGGGATTGCTGGGTCAAATGGAATTTCTATTTCTAAGGCCTTGAGGAATCGCCACACTGTCTTCCACAATGGTTGAACTAATTTACACTCCCACCAACATTGCTTATGTTTTTTTCTCTTACTAGATCTGTGTGAAAGGAAGAACAAATCTTTTCAATCACGGAATCATTTCTTTAGTAGACACGTATACAAATAAATAAATGAATAAATAACAAAAGAAAGGCATGCGTGAAAGGTATTTAAAATTATTTAAAACATAGGCACAGGTTAACTTTTAAAGTAGCACAGATTTCTAAAGATTAAGGTCCTCAGAGACGCTTCCATGTTAATCGCCTATATCGGAAGGTTTTGGTTTCCAGATTTTACCAGAAAATCATTGAGTGGTAAAAGACTAAACAGTATTTGAAATATATTAAAATCTGTCAAATTGAAGTTTTCATTATTTTACAAATATTTGAAATCTTTTTCTTTTTACATTTTACTTTGTAAGTGATAGCAGTATACAAATTAACAAATAAAGTGTGCTACCGATAGTTTTCTTATCAACATTATTTGGGAGAATATGAAAGTAAAATTAAATTTGAGGATGAAATTCCCCTATAGTCCAGCCATTAATCAGTGACTTATACTTCAAGCCAAATGATTAATAATTGAATAGATAATTGTATAAATAAAAGAATTTTAGTGCTTCTTAAATTTATTCTTGTATTTTAAATAAGGAACTTAATTTACAAAGAAAATAAAAGTGGAATGCACTAAATTTCATGAAGTAAAGCTCTACATTTAAAGTACAATGCAGTAGAGCATAATACCTCTAGGGACTGAATTTAATGAACAGTGACAGAAAGCATGTAGAGTCTAAAAGTGTTATGACATTATTGATATTTATCTTGAATATACAGAAGAAATTAAAGTTTGAAACTACATTTGAAGTATAACATGATGACATATATGCCCTTTAGGAACTGATATACAGAATTAAAATTATTTTACTATAGTAAAATTACTATAAAATTATGCACAAATTCAGTTTTAAATAAATAAATATATAATTTCCAGAAAGTTTTGTAAAGAAAACAAATTTTACTTTATTTTTAAGTAAGTCAATAAACAATGCAGTGGAGAAACTTGTATAGAAGTGGAAGAAATGGACTGGTAAAAATATAAAATTAACTATAACACAGCATATAAAGAATATAGGAGACCAAGGATACTTACAGAGATATTCAGAAATTTCAAATTTTTACTTAATTGCTTTTTAATAGTGTTATTTATTTTTGACCAAAAAATTCATTTATTGGCATAAAACACAATTTTATGGACCACATTTTTGAAGGCTTGTTTTACTTGCTGGTTTCTCAGAGTGTAAATGAAGGGGTTCAGCATGGGGGCAACAGATGTATTGAGAATAGCTACTCCTTTTGTCAATGATGCCTTTTCTTTTGCAGATGGATTAGCATACATGAATATACAGCTTCCATAAGAAATGGAAATGACAATCATGTGAGAGGAACAAGTGGAGAAAGCCTTCCTTCTTTGATTGGCAGACAGAACTCTCAGAATGGTCCTGATAATGTACGTGTAAGATAAAATCACTAATGCCAAAGTGAACAGCAAAGTAACCAAAGCAAAGTAAAAACCAATTACTTCCAGGAGCCATGTATCTGAACAAGACAGTCGTAAAAGGGGAAAATAGTCACATGCAAAGTGATCAATGACGTTGGAAGCACAGTAATCCAGTTGGAGGAGAAGCATAAGGGGTGGGAAAATGGTCAGAAACCCACTTAGCCAGGCACATAGCACGAGTAGGGTGCAGAGTTTCCCATTCATGATGGTTGTGTAATGAAGGGGCTTGCAGATGGCAACATAGCGGTCATAGGACATGGCAGTGAGAATGTAAAATTCAGTCACCCCCATGAAGATAAAGAAAAAGAGTTGGGCTGCACAGTTGTTATAGGAAATAGTCTTATTCCTGGTGACAATTGCTCCCAGAAATCTGGGGATGCATACAGTTGTAAATGAGATTTCTAAGAAAGAGAAGTTCCGGAGGAAGAAATACATAGGTGTCTGCAGATGAGAATCCACAAAGGTTAGGGTGATGATAGTCATGTTTCCACTAACGCTTAATATATACGTGATAAATAAAAAGAGAAAAATCACAATCTGAAGGTCGGGATCGTCAGAAAGGCCCAGGAGGACAAACTCTGTGACCATTGTGTGGTTCATGCCTTTTCCTTTCTCTCTCTTCCTTCCACTCTCCTTTTATCTTCTTTTAAAGATATTTTGGTGGAAAGGTAATTAAGAAAAATAGATAAAAGATATAATTCATCCTGATCCATATAATCACTCTGACCCATATAATCATCATTAATACAATTCTAAAAATCTTCTACAATAACTTTTATTTTGACTACCTTGTTTGAATGATGCTTTAGTATTTTTTTTCTAAATCCAGCCTATTTATTAGTTCTCTTACTTTAAATCTAGCAGAAGTTAGGATATCTTTATACAGTAAGTCACATCATTGAGAAACAGCTAATAAAATGTATAATTCCTGCTTTATGTCCCATTAATGCAAAATATCATTATCGTTTTCGTTGAAACAATCACATGAAACATACATTTTTCTTTTTTCCATCATCTATACATTAAAGGATATTACCACCTGAAAACAAAATGGGTGTTCTTAATTGCATCAAAAGATAAAAGTGAAAATTAGAACATTGTTAATAACCCATTATTCTTTTTATAAGAAACAAAGATTTTTAGCAAATAAAATATATATTTTTATTTTAATGATGTTATTTTATTTTTAATATTAATATTTTGGTCTAATTGTCAAGATAATATAAGAACATCCTATATATATGATGTATATTTACTATAAGATAGAGTAAATAATGTAACCATTTTACTTAACAAATAGGGAACATGTTCACTTACTTATTGGTTTGTCTCATAATTCCATCAAAACCTTTAATGTTTGATGTTATCTATGACTCATAAGAAATGTGTGTGTACATATCTGTACATATATATATCATATATACAGACTTTTAAATTTTGAGCTTGAGGGAACATGTGCTATTTATCTATTGTTCATTTTGCTCTGAAGCATAAATTGGAAAAGTGATTACTTGCCTTAGATCTCAGCAGCTCTCTCACTTGTATTATAGCATAGTGCATCTTCTGTTTGAAAAATCTTCCTTCCTGAGCTATTATGCTTCATGAAAAAAAGTTTTATTTCCTAGTTAATTTTGTCCCACATAAGACCATTCATTGTTATGCAATCATTCATTCATAAGGATATCCAGAATTGTATAGGAAACCCTCTCTTATTCTGACCCAGTCAATTTCCAGCTATTTAAACGCTGCTGGATATTCTATTCTACAGATGGGTTCTGCTAAAATCCTGAAAGTTGTCTCCTCCATGTTTTAGATAATCAAATTTCTGCTATAAAGGATAGAATATAAAATTATTGCTTCTCCTCTGGACACTACCAAAATTCACACTAATCAAATTCTATTTTATAATGGTTTAAGGGAAATATTTTGAAAAATAAAAGTGGAATGCTGGAAACCTTTGGAAGTTGTGGAAATACATTATATTCCTCTGCAATATTGTTGAGGTAGAAGTTCAAAAAATAACATCTAAAGAAAAAACAGGTAAATATATGACACACTGAGTATTATGAGTTAGATTGTGGTATCTGGCTTTCCTCTGGTTGTACTTATATCTAAAATATTTCAAGTTTTTTGTTTTGACCTTGAAAGATTTGATCTCCTGGGAACAAAGAAAAGTCCAGGCCACATCTCGGCTGTATTATAGACCATGAGAGATTTCTGGAAGCTGCCTTTGGATTTCTCAGTAGCCTCCTAACTCTTATCTATAGTTGGTCTCCCTTGAGAGTGATTAGGTTCATCTTTTAGCCCAAAGGGGACCTCAAATATTGTCTTCTGTGAAATATTTACTTCCATTATTGTAATTAGTATTTTATGCATACTTAATATTTCACGAGTAATAAAAATGGCTATGACATCTACTTTCTTACAAAACTAGAGCTCAATCTAATTGGTATTTAATCATTTTTTTAAGATAGAAAGTTCTCTACATATCCCATTTTAAAAAAAAATTATACTTTAGGTGCTGGGGTACATGTATAGAATGTGCAGGTTTGCTATATAGGTTTTGTTTTTTATCTTTAGGCTTTGTTAAGTGTTAGGGCATAAAGAAGCAAAAGGTTATTTCATAATGCTAAGTAAAAAATAACTACTATAATGCAAGTATTGAGCTCACAAGTTTTTAAAAAATGCTATCAGGTTAATTCAATTTTCATTATAAATCGCAACATTTAATTTCGGTGTCAATTTGTCCATCTCATTGTTCATCTTGGCCTTTATATTTATTATCCCTTCAACGTTCTAATAAGAAATATCACAAAATATGCTCTTATTTATGTGAAATTCTGGTTAGTGAATTATAACTAATTATTCTCTTTAATGTTCTTCTTTATGTGTCCCAAATATTTTGGCATAAAAATATGTAATCTGATAAGCCATATATTTAATACATAATTTAAACTAACAATGCATATTATATAATACAGATTATTTAACACAAAATAGCATTGTATGTTTTAATACAGTTATAAAATGTATATTTAATGTATAAAAACACAACAATAAATTTATATAATTAAAAATGTTTTATTTTATCTTTTCCATCTTTATTGGGATATAATTAAGAAATCAAAAATGCTACATACTTAAGACATACAATATGATTTTTGATATAAATTTTTTTTTGCATTAAAAAATAATACACTAGCCAATACAGAACTGTATCAATCACAGCTGGGATGCAAATTTGTGAATTATTTTACTATTATAGAGGCTCATTTAGTAAAGAACATTTTGGCAGATATGTTTCCACATCATAGGGAGTGTTACCCTTAACCACTTAATTTTTATTGATCACTTGTCACTATTTTATGTTCTTATTATAAAAGCTCAACTAATACGCAGGATATTTTATCATTATTCATGGAGGGAAACATGCAATAATGCCTCGCTTGATGGCATCCTTGTCCTATTAATATTCTGTTGTTGCTATTTAGATTTAAAGGCTTAATTGAGGTTTAGGTTTAGGCTTTTTCTTTTTCTTTTCAAACTAATCCAAAATAAGTAGCAGCTATTAGCGTAACTACCCAATGGGTTCACCTGCCTGCTGCCTAGACAGAGCCGATTTATCAAGGCAGGAGAACTGCAATAGCCAAAGAATAAATTCTGTAATTCACGCAGAGCTGGCAGTGCAGGAGACCGGAGTTTTATTATTACTCAAATTAGTCTCCCTGAGGATTCAGGGATCAGAGTTTTTGTTGTTGTTACTGCTGTTGTTGTTTGAGACAGAGGCTCCCTCTGTCACCCAGGCTGGAGTGCAGCGGCAGGATCTCAGCTCACTGCAACCCCCTGCCTCCAAGGTTCAAGCGATTTTCCTGCTTCAGCCTCCGAAGTAGCTGGGACTACAGGCGTGCACCACCGTGCCAGGCTAATTTTTGCATTTGTAGTAGACACCAAGTCTCAGCACTTTGGCCAGGCAGGTCTCAAACTCCTGGCCTCAGGTGATCCCCCTGCCTAAGCCTCCCAAGGTGTGGAATCAGTTTTTAAAGATAACTCAGTGGGTGGGGAAAGGCTAGTGAGCTGGGAGTGCGGAATGGTCAGGATCAAGAAGAAATCACAGGGAGTCGAAGCTGTTTTCTTGCACTCAGTCAGTTTCTGGGTGGGGACCACAAGATCAGATGAGCCACTTTATAGATCTGGGTGGTGCCAGCTGATCTATCAAGTGCAGGGTCTGCAAAATATCTCAAGCACTATCTTAGGAGTAGTTTAGAGAGGGTCCGAATCCTGTAGCCTCCAGCTCCATGACTCCTAAACATAATTGCTAATCTTGTGGCTACAAAGGCAGTCCAGTCCCCAGGCAAGCAGAAGATCTGCTCTGGAAAACCAAGTTCCTCCCAAAGTCAGTTGAGTCATCCAGAATGAACAAGGATAGCCTGGAGGTTAAAAGCAAGATGGAATTGGCTAGCTCAGGTCTCCTTCACTGTCTCGGTTATAATCCTGCAGTGGTGGTTTCATTGGTGACCAATGGCTGGATTCATTTGTTCACTATGTGCTGCAAAATGCTTATCTTCTTAATCTAACATTTACCATTTCCTTGTACATTGTTACAATTATATAGAAAATCTCAGATAAATGTTTACTTTGTTCTTCTTTCAGTATTCCAAATTGATTCTCCAGTATCTTTTTGTTGATATCATTATAAACTCATAGAATCACAATTTTTTTTTTTTTTTGAAAAGGAACCTCACTCTGTCACCAGGCTGGAGTGCAGTGGCACGATCTCGGTTCACTTTAATCTCCATCTCCCAGGTTCAAACGATTCTCCTGCCTCAGCTTCCTGGGTAGCTGGGGTTACAGGCAGGCACCACCACACCCACCTAATTTTTTGATTTTTTTTTTTTTTAAGTAAAGATGGGGTTTCACCATGTTGGCCAGGATGGTCTTGATCCCCTGACCTCACAATTCACCCACCTTGGCCTCCCAAAGTGCTGGGATTACCAGAATGAGCCACCACACTTGGTCAGAATCACAATTTTATATTAGCTTTAGGTCATGTTAGTGTTTGACATATGTATTTCAAGGAAGATTTAAATTAACATCCCTACCTCTTTGGAGTTATTTAGCCAGGGAGAAAGTCTTCAAGTTGGCTTCTTACTCTAATGGACATTATACTTTTAGATTGCTTCCTTCTTAAGTAATATATTTTTACAGGCTTATGTTACTTATACATTCTTGTATTAAATCTGGAATCAATCATTACTCCAAAAAGTTCTATTTGCATTGATTGGAAAATATTAAATCAAGATAAGAATCTGAGCACTAGTTATAATAACTGCCATGAAGTTGACCATCTTTTCTAGGTATTTTCAGTGGAAAGGACAAGCACACTTATTTTTTTAACATACAATATTCTTTGGACAACAGGTTGCTTAAAAAATCTTTACAAATGCGTAGTAATGAAACAACATTACTTGTCTGGGGTAATACCAGAGGTTTGTTGTCTCATATCAAGGAAATCAAGGATGTGGACACATAAGGCATGAGATTAAGAGTGGAGGTTTAATAGATGAAAGAGAAAATCTCCCTGTCTGCAGAGAGAGGGGCTCCTGAATGGGTCTTCTGGCCTCATGGTGAAATGCACAGGGTTTTACAGATGAGCTTGAGGAAGCAGTGTCTGATTTACATAGAGGATGAGAAATTGGTCAGACCACATGCGTCATTTTGCATAGCGCACAAAGAAGCTGGCCTCCCCACCTTAATCTTTTATTATGCAGATGGGTTCTCTATCTGGCCATGCTGCCTGCTTCTTTACTGCACATGTGGTTGAGAAACAAAAGGGAAGATGGGGCTGCCATGTTGAATATGCCTGGTCCCCAGGTAGGCTTTTCCCACTGGCACAGTGGCTGGCATTCACCTGTTCAGGCATGGAGACTGAGTTTCTATGTCTGCAACTTGATTTTTCAGGCTGCTCTTTGTGAGAAAAGAAATGACTTGGGGGCTGCTTTTTATTAAAAGGGAAACTTGCCAAGGACTCTCTTACCCCCACTACCTAAATAATTTCTAGGTCCTGTATCACGAAAACATGTTAATGTTTTCAAATTTAGGACTACATGAGTTTTACATAATCCCTTCTATCTTCCATCCATTTGTGTCTTCTTTCTTTCATATTGAGAACCCTGGCTATCAGATACATTTTCATTTTTTTTCTTTTCCTCACATTGCACATACAACAGTATTAGAATAACAATGATGCCACTGCCACCTACAATGTTATTCCAGAGAACAGTTTCAGATTTTTTTCAGCTCTTCTCTTTGTGCCCTTAGATTAAATCCCACATGGAAGTACAGACCAACTGATGTATTTAAAACCAATTGGAATAATGCTGTTCAGGTGGTTACTTCACCAACTTAATATACAGTTTATTATATTAAATTCACTTAAGTTTCATTTTTCAGGAATTTTAAAACAATTAATGCATTTGTAATGATGAAATACTAATATTTGCCCAAGGTCAAATAATCAAAACTAATTACACATCTTGAGATGTAACTGGATTTTTAAAAATAATAATTTTCAGTTTTTTATTGACTAATTCATCACTATATACCATTTTATGTGCTTATGAAAAATACAGTCTTCCTTGCCATGTTAATGAAAGCTTGCTTGACTTGCTGATTTCTCAGGCTGTAAATAAAGGGATTCAGCATGGGGGCTACTGAGGTGTTTAGTATTGCCACTCCCTTGCTCAAGGACACTCTATCTTTTGCTGAGGATTTAATGTACATAAAAATGCAGCTGCCATAGGAGATGGAGATGACAATCATGTGGGAAGAACATGTGGAAAAGGCCTTTGTCCTCTGACTAGTAGAAGGAATTCTCAAAATTGTTCTGATGATGTATATGTAGGACAGAAATATTAATGCCAATGTGAACATTAGAGTAAACACAGCACAAGAAAATCCCATCACCTCTAGGGATTTTGTGTCTGAACAAGCAAGTTGTAGCAGGGGAAAATAATCACAGGTAAAATGGTCAATAACATTAGACCGACAGTAATCAAGCTTTAAGAGCAACATGAGTGCTGGGAATATGATTAAGAATGAAACCAGCCAAGAAGTAAAAACAAGCAGTGTGCAGACTCTTTGATTCATGATGTTCAAGTAATGCAGAGGTTTACAGATGGCCACATAGCGGTCATAGGACATGGCAGCCAGAAGGTAAAACTCTGTGACTCCCAAGAGAATGAAAAAAAATAACTGAGCTATGCAATTATTAAAGGAAATGGTTTTATCTCCTGAAATAATGTTACCCAAAAACTTGGGTATACTGACAGTCGTGAATGAAATTTCTAATATGGAGAAATTTCTGAGGAAGAAATACATGGGGGTCTGCAGGTGGGAATCCAGCAGGGTGAGGGTGATAATGGTCAGGTTCCCAGTGATGCTGAGCATATAGGTGATGAACAGAAAGACAAAGGTCACAACCTGAAACTTTGGGTCATCTGTCAACCCCAGAAGAATAAACTCTGTTATTTCTGTATGGTTTCTCATTCTTCAGTTGCTTATCACTTTCTTCCTACCAGATCTATAGGAGAAAGCACAAAGAACAAACTTGAAGAGTTGTGGATGAACAAATATCGAAATATGGAGCTGGAGTTTGGCTGACATAGTATGCCATTTCTACTTCAAGGGGAAATTTAATGCCACTTGATGATAACAGTGGTCCTTTAATTTCCACTCTTTTACAGGTGAAAACTCTTCACATTAGGCAGGTTAAAAATAAAAATTTGGTATCATAGTTGGAAGTGGTAAGGAGGAGTTTGCCACCAGACTTTTCTGACTCCATGTAATACCTGTTATCTTTCAGAGACATTCCTACAAGTTTCCTTCCTAATCAGAACCACCTTTGTGTCTTTACACCAATCCCTATATAAGGTTTCTGTTTATGTAAAAGTTTGATTACTTTGATAATTCTCAATATGGGGAAGATACATTAGTTGTTTTATTTTTTTTTTTGAGGTGGAGTCTGTCGCCCAGGTGGGAGTGCAGTGGCACGATTTTGGCTTACTGCAACCTCCATCTTGCGGGTTCAAGTGATTCTCTTGCCTCAGTCTCCTGAGTAGCTGGGATTACATGTGTCTTCCACCATGCCTGGCTAAATTTTGTATTTTTAGTGGAGACGGGGTGTCGCCATGTTGGCCTGCATGGTCTCGAACTCCGAACCTCAGGTAATCCACCCGACCAGAAGTGCTGGAATTACAGGTGTGAGCCACCAAGCCTGGACTAGTTTTCTTTTTTAAAGTGAGTACTTTTTCCTTCGCCATTGTGAAAGTTGATTGTATGGATTGGGTTGAGTCATTTTTTGTCATACCCAGCTAACACAGGGTCATGTTGCCAGGGGCAAAAAAGCACACAGGGCACAGAATATTGCCCTAAGGATGTAATTCTGTGTAAGCCTGACTGCTGAAGTTGCCTGCTGTAACCTGAAATCAATGTTATCTAATAGCTGCTGAAATCACCTGCTGTGATCCTGTGGATAGTTTTACTCATGCCTTCACTTACCAGTCAAAACTTGCCAGCTCCCCTAAACAACTTCTAACCTTCTCTTTGTTCTTTGGAAATACTGAAAAACCACTCGGTCTGTGTGTATGCCCTGAGTTGAAGTTTTTGCTTACCAAGTAAGATGTTTTAAAATTTTAGAGATTTGTCTTCATATTTTATTTACCCTTAATGCCACCAATTAACTTCTGTGAATGTTCAGATTTTCCAACTCCCATGTCCACTTTATTGGAAGTCAGAAATACTTAAGCCGTTGCCATGAACAACTTCAGATGTTTGGAATAGAGGAAAGGAAGAAGTATAGAATAATGTAAGCTGAAAGAGCCCAACACTGAAGTTTATTGCGTGTGAATCTCTTGCAATATTTCATGATAGTTCAGCCTACCTATGTGTCATTTTATGACTTTTATTTCTATAGAAGCCATGTTGCTTTCTAGTTGAAATAAATAAATAATAAAATATTATTAACTTGAGAAGGATGCCATCAGTTAAAGAGATGATAGATAAGTATTCTCCAAGAAGATTTGTTTATTTATTCATACTTTGAAATAGTAAGTTTTAATTATTTCTTTTTAAAAATAAAGTTCAAATGATATTATAAACATTTCTATAGAAAAGAGTGAGGTTATCTAGTTTTGAATCCAATCTATTTACTACATCTGAAAATCACTTAACACTTCTATGTCTCAGTATCCTCACCTATAAATAGTTTCTTCCACTGTATACAAGTCTATCTCATAGAGTTGTTTTGAGCATTAAGTTAATATATATTAACTTACTAACTTTTATATAATTTAATATATAAACTTACTTATAACTTTCCTAAATGCTTAAGTGAAAGCTGTGTGAGGCTTTGTTCTATGGAGAAAGTATTTCCTAACTATTGAGCTGAAAATCCTTGGGAATGGAATGGAATGGTGTCTTATCCAAAAGGTTATGTCTTATATAAATAGTAATAACTATATTTGGCACCAAGAGACTCACATAAGAACAATAACAACACAACAACAAAAAAAAAAAGAAGGAAAAAGTCACCACGTTACATGGTTCCTGTTCTTTGTCTACATGGTGCCGACCTCTCCCACGATGGTGTGTCTGCCTCTTCCACTGCATTACCACCACCAAACAGACACGAACACATGCACACGAACACACACACACACATGCACATGAACACACACACACACACGCTCCACTTCCCTTATCTTCAACCAGGATTTGGTCATTGTGATGTTCATAGCTTGTCAACATGGCTACTCATAGCCAGTTATTTTCCCTGCTCTTCATTAGTAATAACCCTCCTGAAAGTGATTGAGGCCTGCAGTAAATTATATGTGCATATATATTACATATAAATGTGCATGTGTATTTATGTGTGTATGTGTGTGTGTATATATACATATTTACATAAATAAATATACTAGCACACTAGCATTGTGGGTAATATATTATAATGACATCCCAAATTACCTGTCCTTATTTCTACAACACTAGGTTTAATACCCACTGTTGCATTCCATGAGAATCTTATGCTCATTCTTCCCTACTCATCACAGTTACAACAGGCTGAAATCTCCTGTTAACTCCTCCATTACTCTATGCATTCTTGAGAGTTAGAAGAGTCTCTTATCTTCAAAGCTATTTCAACATAATCCAGTATTTAGTATAGTTAAGTAGGTTTAAAGGAAATACTCATCCAGTTAATTAATTAATGTTGAGTTTGTTATTGCATCATATGCTGCCATCAGTGCAGTTTGCTATTTTATGCTGATATTCTAGCCTGGATGTTACTTCGTTTTTTTTATCTTTGTTTTAGAAGATGTATTTTTCTTACATATTTTACCATTTAGATGTATTTTCTTACATATTTTACCATTTATATATTTGGATTACATTTCCTGTATTGACTAAATTTTAAACCTAAGACATGTCAAGTGAACAGCACTTCGTTGATGCATAAGTTTAGAGAAAACTTCATGAATCAGTATTTCTGTATTACTTTAAAAAATTTTTTTTACTATTAATCATTTCAATTTACTTTACTCCAGCTCCAGCAACCTCACTCTTATTTCATCAGGGTTTACTTTTTATTAAAAGCATGAGTTTTTTGTAATGCTTTGAAGTCACAAAATACATTCATATCAAACATACAAGATTTGGATTCAATCTGAAGATTCAAGTTTATTCAGCAACTTATGGACATGAGAGACTCAGGCTTTTAAAATATATATTATATTACTACTGGTCCACAGTGAATGATGTATCAATTCCCTGTATTATTCACCTTATTTCAACATTTTTGGATCTTTATTTTTTCTCTTAAATTCTCTGCTAATTTTTAACTCTTTAGTCAATAACAATACCATGACTCATTCTTTTGCTTCAGATGAAAACTGTGAGGAAACGTAGGAAAAGCTGTGAGGGAAGGTATAATTTGTTACTTAAAGGGTTCATTAGGGACTTCACAAAAAACTAAGACACTTCTATAGCTGGTCTTCAAAGACAATGGAAACAGGCTTAAAGAAACTCTAGTAGTATGTGATCCAATAATAAGAACTGGGTGTGGTATATTATGCTTTTATGTAGAAATGTTATGAAACTTTAATGAATTGAGTTCATTTGTCAACATAAAACAAGCTTGATAAAATTTATCAGCATCCATAGTCCTTTGAGAGGACTGAACTTCAATGTCTAACAAGTTGCAATCAATTCCTAGAGAATCTGAGGATCTCAGGACATATTATACAGATAATGAGGAGCAGCTCCAAGCATTTAACTCATCTTGGACTTTTACATCTGAATACAAATCCATATTTTCTCCTGGGAGAATATGGCTGAGATTGTTAAGTTTTTATTTCCTTCCACCATTTCAACAAAATTACTTATTTGTCTTCTAAACATTCCTGCAACAGATTCTTTGAGCCATTTAAAATGAAAATTGACAGTGATGTTTAATATTTATTAAATAAAATGGCTACAAAGCATCTTCAGAGCTTTCTAAAATAACCACATATCTTGCCCTGCCGTCAAGTAAATATTAATGATGACCCTTTGAATAAACCAGGTTAAATATTGGCAGTTATTTGATGTACATGGTAAGAAAGGGACTATTAGAGAGTAAATCAGTTTGAAGAATCTAGGAATGTGCCTTTAAGAGACTGAGATAAGAGACTGACTGGTTCCATTTTATTTCTCTCTCTCTCTCTGTGTGCGTGTGTTTGTGTGTGTGTATGAATGTGTGTGTCTGTGTGTCTGTGTGCTTTTTAATAAGGTATTGTTACACCGAGTTGAGACCTCCTTAGTAATGCAAATACTTTGAAAATCTAGTTTTAAAATTTTTCTATGTTTACTCAGTTCTTTCTTTACTTTAATAGAGATAACTGAAAAAATCTCGCAGAGTGTATCCTCAAAAACTATGTTAATCGTATCATCCTGGCTTTTTAAAACTTTATAAATTTTAAGTTTTTTTAGAGTTTAGCTTAATATACTAATGAAAAAGAAAATTGTCTAGTTCAATGTTGTGGGCAATATATAGCTCAGTTTTATAATTATACTAAAATACACTTTGGTATATTCAGTCATTCCAGCCTGTGGGCCATGACACAAGGGTTGCTTTGAGAACTTCTGTAGGCCTGAATAAAACAGAAGCTCTTCAGGAAAATTCATCGAGTGACTGAAATAATTATTTTATTAGATTTGTTTTTTACTGTTTTTATAATAATTATAGACAACTATTTCCCTGGAGAAATATGAATAATTTATATTTCTTCATTTCAATAATGATGGACAGCTTTAATTCTCAACCTTCATACAAGTGTGTAAGAAGCAAATAAAAGGAAAAGAGATGTCACCAAATCACACTTAATAATAATTCATAAATAGTAATACTGATTTCTGCAAAGGTTTCTGGAAAATAAACACTCATAAGCTCATGCCTTCAGTTAATTAACTAGCCCATTTATAATTTAAACAAGATAGGAAAAGGAAATAAATTAACAGAAAATTGTGGTATTAACACACCATTCATTTCTTATTTATGACATATAAAACCAATTTATTATCACAGAAAGTATATGCACTTTAAGATTAGACAGATACAAATGAGACATTTAATGGATTTGTGGCTTTGGATTAGTTACTTAATTTCTTTAAACTTCAGCTTTCTCTGTTTAAAACAGAGTTGAAATTTCAAGGGTGTTTTTGAGAATTAATTGAATTACTGAAAATAAGTGTTCCATAAATCATGCATCATTTAGTAGTCTCTAGGAATAGCTATATTATTTATTTTTCCTTTACTAGAAATTAATTTGGGGAAAATCTTTATAGTAGTTGTGATTTGTTACAGGCACTGTCTATACTAAACTAGGGACTTCTTCTCTTTACTTAATTTAGCCTTTGTAACATACTTGTTAAATTTTTATCCTTCTTCCCAAATGAAGAGCTGAGGCTCAAAGAAATTATGTAACTTAATATATGTGGCTAGCAAACATTAAATAGAATCTCAGACTACTTAGGCTTAAAATCTGTTCTCTTAAGCACAGTACTATATAGCTATATTTGATTAAAAACACAGAGACAGAGATAGTAGTTTCCTGCTTTTAATTATTAGAGAACGAATAAACTGATATAATAGGACATGCTAATCCTTTTTATACATTTTAATATGTCAAACTTCAAAGTATAACACCTATTTACTTTGATTAAAAGTCGAGCTGTTAAGTAATGATTCAATGCTATGATTTGAGAGACTTTCATAAAAGTTTTACTTACCTCTGATTTTCATATAGTTTCACTAACATTCAGAATGGCTGGATTAGTAAAAATGTTAGCAAATACCATTGCTATCCACTAAAACCAGGATTTCTGAAAACATTAACTTTCTCACTGAACACATTTTCTTCCTATTTTCAATGTTTTTGTCTTAATTTTCCCATTTTATCCGAGGGGATATGTTTCTTTGATAGTAGAAAGTGAGAAAGAAGCAAAAATATAAAATAGAAAAAGTATCTGAAAACGTTTTAGAACTGTCTGGCATGGTTTCTATGTAGATATTAGATGGCACAAGTTACTTAATGTTTTATCTAGTCTCTTTGCCACTGGCTCAAGGGGACCAATTCCATGAATCAAAATTGTTGGAAGAGAAATACACACAAAACACTAAGGAATATGAAACATAATACACATTAGTATTTAAAGTGGAGCAAGAAGCTTGGGGGACAGTGTCCAATGAGACAGAAAAGAAAATAACAACAAACAAATAATACTAAGTTTGAAGATTTTTCCCCTTGACATTATTTGTCATATAGAGATAGCAATCAAATATTTTAATTCCTAATGCAGATCTCTACTCAGTACGCCATTTTTAAAACTGGGAAACTACTACATTGTCCTAAATACGTTCATTACCTTCATTATTTTTAATCTGCCTTCTGATAACTTTTACTACTGTAATACTGCTCACACTTTACACTATTTTTCCTCTGCTCACTGTATTGCTCACCAGCAATGGCAGTTGAAGAGTTTCTTGCATTGATTATTACAATTTACACACCAAATATGTTTTTAGAAGTTAGGTCTTTCTAGACTATAATAGTATAATCATGCCCAAATGAGATAATGTTACTGAAAAAGGAAATAAAATTGTGTAGATTCTTAGTAAAAGCTATGCAAAATTTTCAGACCTTAGTGGAGTTTCCACCATGTGTAAATATAGAGCAAAGACTAATTTTTTGGTTTGTTTCTTAAAATAGGCTACTATGTTATCTACTGTAACTGTTACCTTAGGCAAATTATACAACTTTTCTGAGCATCAATTTACACAATTGTACAAAGCAGATAACCATGTCTGTTTTGCCAGGTAGCTATAAAGATTAAATAAGATACGGGATAGAACATACCTACCCCAGCATATGGAACATTGTAAGTACTCTCTAAGAGGAGCTATTAATATTTAGGAAATTTTTATCAGACTCTCAGGGTTCCTAAGAGCAATGAGGGCTGCCTAAATACATATCTTTTTATACATTTTCAAAAACAAAAACATGATGAATAAGGAGAACATATAAACTACACATAGAGCGTACCTTCAGCGTAACTAGAAAATAGAAAATATTATGAACCTCAAATTATTTGTGAGTAGGAAAATATGTACTTAAGTCCATCAGATGAGTGGGAAGAATTGGACAGATACTGCATGCAAAAAAAGTTTCTTGTAGATATTTATTTCACATATGACTTCATATATCATATATAGAAAATTTGAAAAGAAACTGTTATATTAGTAACCAAGAAGAGAAATTTTAAGAGTAAGTTGATTAAAACTGTTTGCTTCTTTAAGTCATTAAGGTATAAACCATTTTTATTATTCAGAATAATCAACAAGGTGATTTATGTGCTGTAGCCACTGGTTTTTTAACCAAAATTGGAAATCAATGGTTACAAGAAACCTATAGAGTTTTAAAGGAAGACACAATATGGTCACTTTCCAGTTAGAAAGAAAACTGAAGCAAATGAACTCAGCATTGCAGGTAGTTGTGAGATGGGTATAGGAGGATAGTGGACAAGTTAAAATTTTATTTTTCCTTTACTGTATCTTTATGATGACATTCATTCATGTTAGTAAATACTTTCATTTGTTTCTATAGAACACTACCTTGTGGACCAAATCTTTAAAAGCTTTTTTTACTTGCTGGTTTCTCAGGGTGTAAATAAAAGGGTTCAGCATGGGGGCGATTGAAGTGTTGAGAATAGCTACTCCTTTGGTCAATGATGCTCTTTCTTTTGCTGAAGGCTTGGCATGCATGAATATGCAGCTCCCTTAAGAGATGGAGATGACAATCATATGAGAGGAGCAAGTGGAGAAAGCTTTTTTTCTCTGACTGGCTGACTGGCAGACAGGATTCTCACAATGGCTCAAATGATGCATACATAGGACAGAATTACTAATGCCAAGGTGAACAGCAGAGTAATAAAGGCAAAGTAAAAACCAGTCATCTCTAAAAGCCATGTGTCTGAGCATGAGAGTTGTGAAATGGGGACCATCATTCTCAGCAAACTGACACCAGAACAGAAAATCAAACACCACATGTTCTCACACATAGGAAGGTGTTAAACAAGAACACATGGACACAGGGAGGGGAGCATCACACAGTGGCATCTGTGGGGGTGAACTAGGGGAGGGACAGCATGGGGTGGTGAGATGGGGAAGAATAACATGGGGAGAAATGCCAGATATAGGTGAAGGGGAGGAAGGCAGAAAACCACATTGCCATGTATGTATCTATTCAACAATTTTGCATGTTCTTCACATGTACCCCAAAACCTAAAATGCAATAAAATATATATAAAAAATAAATTAACAAAATGGGGAAATAGTCACAAGAGAAGTGGTCAATGACATTGGAAGCACAAAAACCTAATTTGAGGATAAGCATGAGTGGTGGGAAAATGGTCAGAAATCCTCCCAGCCATGAACTAAAGACAGTGAGGATGCAAATTTTCTGTTTCATGATGGTGGTGTAATGGAGAGGATTGCAGATGGCCACATAACGGTCATAAGACATGACAGCCAGAAGAAAAAATTCAGATGCACCCACGAAGATGAAGAAAAATAATTGAGCTAAACAATTGTTATAGGAAATGGTCTTAACTTTAGTAATAATTGCCCCCCAAAATTTGGGGAATCAATATGTTTAACCGAGTTCATTGGCTGAAAGTCCAGGGTTGTTTTTATCATAATCAAACATTTTGGTGAAATGGTAAGATGTACCTTTCTCTTTGTATTGTGCAAAACAGGGTCATCTGTTCATGATGTAATTGTGTAGAATCATATTCCTAAATTCACAATGACTAAAGCTCTAAAATTTCTTAAAATACAACGAGACAGCTGACACATTCTTCTTATCATTATGATTTCATTATCAAATATTTCATCCTTGATTATTTATTTCCTATCAAAACCCCTTAAGAATTTAGGATATATAGCCGTCTGTATACAAAAGAGAAAATAGAGTCTTTTGACCAGTCTCTTTCCTGTTTGGCATAGGAATTATCGACTAAGATAATTTATTTTTTTGCCCTTATGAAGAGTTCCAACTTGATTCAAAATATAACATGCAAAATCATGCAAATCTTGATAGTCTGTAATTTCAAACTTATTTGATCCCCATTCACGATATGATAAACTTAACATCACTGTCTCTTATATACACATGTAAAACACATATACATTATTTATCATAAAGTCATATAATGCATGAAATGAATAAAGAACTTTGTTACTTTCCCTTCACTCTGATTTTATTCTATTCTATTGGTAATGGCTAAGCATTTTAATTAATCCCAAATTTCACTAATACCTCAGTCATTTTGCCTAAAAGTGTTAAACAACTTTAATAGCACCTTATTTCAAACTAATTTAAACACTGAAGCACGTGTTAATGGTTTCTTAACTATGATATCATATATTTAAGTAACATTACATTAATTATATCTTTTAATGATAAGTAATGTAATATTACTTAATTATAATATTGTTTTTATGATAACTATAATTAATTATTAATTGTATCCATATGTATTTTAACTAAATTATTTTCTGGGAACATTACCTATGTCACATCAGTGGAAATGTTTAGGGTGATAGACTAAAAGGTGGTGAAGATTCATTTAATCATTGATTAATTCCATTATATTTTTATTTGGTAATAAGTGTATTCATAGATTTGTGGTTTCATTTTATCACTTTATTAATATGATAATAAATTATGTTGAATTATTAAATTATAAATAATATATATACTCTGCAAGATGCCCAAGTGTACACTGGGGTAAATACAAGTAAGAAGGTCATCTTAACAATTGTATAGATCATTTAATTTTGCAGTGAATAAATTACATTTGACATTTATATACAGATATAGTATATAATTAATTAGACCCCAGGGGAAGGATTCAGTCACTGTGTTTTAGAGTGTCATACACGTTTAAAAGAAAATTAAGTATTTATCAGAGTAAGAACCTGGGAAATTATATTTCAGATAAAAATAATCCACCCTGAATGCTATTTTCAATAAAAAGCAAAGATTATTATTTCTATACATACAAATCATTATAGAGAATGATTGCATCATGGGGAATAATAAAAAATGGTTAAATAAAATTATTTTTAAATTTCTGTTACTTTCTTCATGAGAGAAGACATTTCAAGATTTATGTCAATTAAGAAAGAGATAAGTTATAGCAACATCAGTTGCTCGCATTTAGTAACCACTGACAATGTGCCAAACATTGTGAAAGCTATATTTATATTCTACATATTTTATTCATATTTAGGTACTTTTCTAAGTGACATAAATAAAACCCCATGAACTTAGTAATTTTATCACTTATTCCCATTAAACAGATGAAGAAAAAGAGGCACAGAGATTTTAACTGGCAATCTCAGGACGATCTCACAGATATTTCTCATAACAAATGAAATATATTTTCTAAGTTTTACAACTTCCTTGTGACTTTATCCATTGATTACTATGACCAAAATATGAAAAAAATTAGTTTTGTTTGAGTCATCAAGCAAGGAAGGAGCTAAGGTGACCATGTCCAAGTGTATAGCAGCACTTAGTGAAGGAAAGAATGGCATGGTTTAAAATGGCCAATGATTTCTAGTATTTTTAAAAAAATCTTTACATTAATTAATTTAATAGCATTTAATTAAGCAAAGAATAACTTGAATATTGGGTAGACTTCAGAATGCGAATAAGTTCAGAGCACTTCTGGGTGGTCGAATAAAATTAATGGACAGAAAAAGGAAAGTGATGTACAGAAAATAGAAGCAGGGTACAGAAACAGCTGGATTGGTTACAGTCAACTTTAGCCTTATTTGAGGACAGTTTTTAAAAAAAATTATTTATTATACTTTAAGTTCTGGGGCACATGTGCAGATCATGCAGGTTTGTTACACAGGTATACATGTACCATGATGGTGGTTTGCTGCATCCATTGCCCCATCATCTACATTAGGTATT